TGTCACAGAAGACCACAGAGGACCAACAGCAGAAGATGCTCAAGCGTACGTCTCAAGTGACAGAACCTCTGTCGTGTCTCACAGAGGTTCTGGAAACTGGTCATCTGCAAAGACAATGCTACAAGACAAAGACGACAAAACCTCTGTCGTGTCTCACAGAGGTTCTGGAAGATATCCTCTACGTCAATGTGCTTTCAAGTTATATCCAGCAGAGCCTCTGTGATGTCTCACAGAGGGTCTGCAACCTGTCTTCTGTGTAGATCTTCTTTAGCTGTTTTACTTAGGTTTATCAGCTGCTCGTGCTTATCACGTGTTCTTGTCTGTAATCTGTTTTGATCGAACGGTTAGATTAATTTACTTTAGGTCGTGTCAGAAAACGGTTACTTGCTTGTATAAATAGCAACGCAGACCCTTGTATTTTCAGTGTGCTTCAGTATTGTAACTGTCAATTTTCATTCTATTGAAAATTATTTGAAGCTCTCTCTTGTGTTCATCAATCTTTTTCACTGTGTTCTTATTGATTTCTACTGTGGTTGATTCTTATCATTTCCGCTGCATTAACACTGTCAAACAGATCATCCAAGTAAGTAATTTATACCAAGAAACCGAGTTAATCGATCCTACACATCAATAAATAATATTGTATGCATAAAAAATAGTTTTTAAGAGTATTGTTTATTGATGCATATTACTTAAAATTCAAGATCACAATTAAATTGTGCGTAGATACAACTTATTAAAGCTTCATTTCTAAATTTGTGTAACTAACTATAGATAAATATTATCAAATACGGGATATAATTCTCATTTTGAATATAAAAAATCTGAAATATAATTAGGATAATCATTAATTATAATAAAATACTTAATTGAAATCTTTATAAAAATTATATCATTAAACAATAAATAAATTACTTCACTTATTAAATCTAAATTAAATTATAAGTAAAATATTAAAGTAAAAAAATTATACAAAAAAGGAGAAATTTAAATATTAAATTTGATACTAGATATATATTTTTTTCAAATTTTTATGATATCTTTAAATTTATATTTATTCAAAAATAAAAATATTATCAATTTCTCAAAACCACTAAAAACCGTATTATATCGACAAAGATAAATAATAAAAGAAAACAATAAAATTGAGATATATTTCGCTATATTATACGAGTACTCTTCTAGTATATATTTCTTTTCTAACAAATATAACACTTATTTTTGAAGCTATTAAAAATGAAATTATTTTATTACAGAATTTCGTTAGAGATGTATTTATTATTCCTAATAATTGTCATAATATAAATGAAATGCATGTTTTTGGTTATAATTTTTTAGTTTTGTCATATATTTAGTAATACATTTTAATATATTTAAATCATTTCAGTAATATTTTTTTTTATCAGATGCAAATACAGATACAAATACAAATACAGAAATTTGTTGAGAAATTATCAAATTTTGTTTCATAAGTTTCAATCTTTTTTCCAAGATACTTTTACATCAATTGTTAATAATTAATAATAAAATTTGTTACTATATCATTTATCATGAACATTTATTTTACAACATGCAAATGTGACATTTGTCATGAAGAAGTGAGAAACAATATATAATAAAATACATTATGATGTTTGAAAATAAGAGGCTGTTTACCAAAAGCTTATCCGAATAAGCGTTTAACAAGTCGTATTATTTTACCGGATGAATATGGTAAAGACCAAGAATCTTATATGGTAAGAGCGATATAAGAACCAAGAGTCTTACCCTGTAAGTGAGGGCGACAACTCTTACCACCGTAAGCACTTACCGGGAAAATTGTTGCATACGATGTCGTTTTGATGGATTAAGATCTTATCCGGTAAGTAAATAATAGTTTAAAAATAAATGATATATGTGTAAAATATCTATACTGTATTATAAAGCATTTGACAAAAACTCTTAAAAACCATTTTTTATGCGTAAAGTACTGTTTATTAATGCATATTACTTAAAACTCAAGATCACAAGTAGATTGTGCGTAAGTACAAGTTATTAAAGCTTCATATCTGAATTCGTGTAATTAACTGCAGATAAACATAATCAAATACATGATAAACATCTCATTTTAAATATAAAAAATCTAAAATATAATTAGGATAATCATTGAGTTCTAATAGAATACTTAATTATTATCTTTATAAAATGTTATATTATTAAACTAAAAATAAATTATTTTATTATTAAACTTAAATTAAATTATAATAAAAAATAAATTACAGAAATTACAAAAAAAATGAGAAAACTTTAAAAAATTGATTTGATATTAACATTGATATATTTTTTTAAAATTTTTATGATATCTTTACATTTATATTTTATTTAAAAAATTAAATCATTAATGTTTTCTTAAAAACACATAAAATCTTATTATAATATCGACAAAGACAAATAGTAAAATAGAAAATTAAAATCAAGATATGTCTTGATACATTGTGTGAATACTTTTTTAATATAAAATAAAATTTTAAATTTTAGTAACTTCAAAAAACAAATAAAACAAAGGAGAATATAAAATGAAGTGTTATGGTTGAATGAAGAAGAGGTTTGTTGACTTGGCGAGAGAAGGCGGTAGGTGAGTTGGTGGAAGTTTCCACTCTCTGTTCCTGCCATTATAAGTACTGCCTTTCCTCTCTTCAAATTTCATTATCTCTCAAAATATTCCCCCTTGTTTCTATAAACACCATGTCTCCGGCATCAAAGCAAGTTATATGTGTCACCGGCGCCGGCGGATTCATCGCCTCATGGATGGTCAAATTGCTATTGGAGAAAGGTTATTTTGTCAGAGGAACAGTTAGAAATCCAGGTGGTTATAATTTCCGATTGAATTGAATTGTAATTTATAACATGCGTTTCGTTTTTTTTTTTTTTTTTGTAATCTAGGTTGCTTAGATTTCCTTTTTTCTGTTATTGATTTTTGCAGATGATCCGAAGAATGTCCATTTGATAGAGCTTGAAGGAGCGAAGGAGAGATTAACTCTATACAAAGCCGATCTTCTCGATTTTGAGAGCTTGCGAGAAGCGATTAATGGCTGTGACGGTGTTTTCCATACCGCTTCTCCCGTCACAGACGATCCTGTATGTCTTCAATTCAATGATGATTGATGAAACAATGGAAAGTAGAGACGCCGATCTTAGGTCTAATTAATTGTGCGTTTACAGGAGCAAATGGTGGAGCCGGCAGTGATCGGGACAAGGAATGTAATAGTGGCGGCGGCTGAATGTAAAGTCCGGCGAGTTGTATTCACATCGTCAATCGGAGCGGTGTATATGGATCCACATCGTGGTCCTGATGATGTTGTTGATGAAAGCTGCTGGAGCGATCTCGAGTTCTGCAAGAACACCAAGGTTTGTCCTCTCTTAATTCACTCAATTTCTGAAAAATTACGTAAAGCAATTGCTCGTTCTCGTCGATCGGATCCCTGATTTTTCCGGCGACAGTAACATATTATCTGCCCTATTCTTTTCTCATTATTTGGTATGACTTATTCACAAAGTCACCGTAATTATTAATATTATTTGTTAATTATGGATGTCAAACTTCACAAAAGCCACATTAATTTTTAAGAGAATCAAAGAGGAATTTAGTACATATTTTCCAAATTATAACCAAATGCAGCGTATCTTTAATTAAACCTATTTTTTAAAATTCTTGGAGCAAGTTTCGTGTTTCGTCCCAATGGTTTCATGATTCTTATTCTTATAGTTATAATGTATTGTTGTTTTCATTTTTATGATTTAAACTACATGATTTGCATTTAATTATTATTTTAGTAATTCATACTTGAAGTTAGGAATTAGTCTTAGAGACAAAAAATAACAACGATGTACAAACTATAAGAATGAAAACCACAATTTCAAAACTATAGGGACAAAATCTGTAATAAAACACCATAGGGAGAAAAAACGTAATTTAATCAAAGTTGTATAAAATTGAACCTTAAAAAATTGAATACCTAAAAAAAAAAAGAAAAAAAAGATGTGGTCAATGCAATTTGTTTTTAGTAAATTATGTTTTTGTCTTATGTCATTATTAGTAATTATCAATTTTAGTCTATATTTTAAACTAATTATAGTTTTAGACACCATGGTCGTCATTCTATTTCACTTCTGGTTCTTTTTGACTATAGATTTTGAGGATTTACGGTTAATTTTTTTTAGTAAAGACAAAGTAGAAAAGATATTGTAAAATTTTCCAAATTAGATTTTTTTTTTCTAAAAATGATTGTTTATATAGAAAAACGATTTTTCTAATTTTCTTATAAATAAAAATCTTTGAAATTAAAAGTTTTAGAAGAAATAAATATTTTTTTATTAAAAATACTATTTTTTTAATAATATAAATAATATTGTAATATTTAAAATTAAAAATCCATCGTCATAAAGTACTTCGATATGCTCCTTTTGTAACTCTAAATCAAATTTAAAATGGCATAATTTTTGGGCGAAAAAGAAATTTTGATGGAAATTTCAATCGAAGACATCTGATACACTCATATATATATAAAGTGTTTCAAATGCAATTTATTACATTTGTTCAATTAATGCAACCCAATAAATTAAAATATTTATGAAAATGATGAAAGTTTATTTATTATGATTTAAATATTTATGGAAGATGAATAAAGTTTATTAATTATGATCAATACTTTATTTTAGGAAACAATCAAAATTTTTATGAAATTACATATTCATCAAATTAAATGGACAGTTGAGATTGAATTATATTGATTGTACAAATGTAAGGGGTTATATAATAACCCACCTCTCTCTCTCTCTCTCTATATATATATATATACACACACACACACACACACACACACACATATATATATATATATATATACATATACATATACATATGGAGTTGCAAGTTCAAACGAGAACATTTACTATATAAAAAAAGTCGTTAATGTACAAAATCATACACGATTTGACGCAACTTTGTCTGCGACTTGTGTCAAGGAAAACGTGTATGTGATTTTGTATATTAACGACTTTTTTCTTATTTAAATAGTTATAGTTATCGTTTGAATCCCTCTCTCTATATCTCTCTCTCTCTCTCTCTATATGTGTGTGTAAAATACAAATCAAATGCAACCTCTCATATACACTTGCAACCCTTACACTCCATTCTAATTCAATCTCAACCCTTAATCTTGCCAATTTTTAAGGAGTTTATTTTTAATTAATTATTCAATAAAAGGGCAATTATGTCTTTTTATTTTTTTAATTAATGAAATAATCCTCCCTATTTTAGTGGACGGTTTTTGATGATTTTTTATTTTTTTAATTAATGAAATAATCCTCCCTATTTTAATTGTTTTTAATTCAATCACGAAATTCACTTGTTTTTTATTAGTATACTACAGAATTACATGTAAACTCATTATTCATATTATATCTTACGTGAAACTTTAGGGGTGTTTGAGATTGCTTATAAAAGCTGCTTAAACTTATTTCAGTCTGGTACTGGTGATAAGCTGTTTTCTGGTGTTTGGATAAGAAAAAAACTGCTTATACCGGTGTCCAACTGATAATAAGTTGTTTTTGATAAGTTAATTCTTCCTGGCTTATGAAAAACTGCTTATTACCAGTTTACAATTTTAAACATGTTTTATTTAACTCCGGTTTAATGCCACATAAGTTAATAAGCACTTTTACAAAAAAAACATAAGTTGTTTTAAATAAGCAATCCCAAACACTCCCTTAATATGAATTTTACTTTCATACATAGCAGCTTCTCACTAAAAGAGCTTTTTCATAAAAGAATTACGCCTTAACGGACTGCATTTAATTCATATGCATCCTATCAACTGCATCTCATGGTCATATACCTTTCAATATGCATCCTAGTTTCACATGTAACAACATATTATAAACGTTTTTCGTACATAACAGGTTTTCTGAAAACAAGTATCACATAAATAGCCTGCATTTTTTCATATGCATCTCATGTTCATATGAAGCAAAATGCTCAACTTGTAATTATGTTTCATATGAAGCCGACTATTCTTATTCACACTCTCTTCCGCCATTTTCTTCCTCGAATCGTAGTTGATTTCATAAATGTTTTGATCGTGAAATATTATTGCATAAACGCATTCAGCCTTTCAGCCGTTGATCAAATGAACCTGTGGTGTAGATGGGGTTGCATTGGTTGCAACCTTATAGAAGGTCTCATTTAACTCAATGCTTGCGGTTTGAAAAATCTCAACCCAACCTAAACCAAAGTGCAACCCAACCCAACACAAACCGTGTGGGTTAGTTGGGTTGATACTTTGGTACATCAAAATATTCTCCTAACTTTGAATACGTTGTTTTCTCTAGTCTACTCATAATTTAGTTTTTATCACCGATCATTTGGTATAACTTATCCATACTTAAGTTTTAAGTATATCACATTTAATTAATTTTCTCAATTTGCACACACATATATATATATATATATATGTGTGTGTGTGTGTGTGTGTGTATTCACACTTACTAAATATGTATAAAAAAGTTACATAAAGATTGAGAATATATTGAAAATATTTGTACATGAATAGGGTATGCGATGTTATAATTGTATAATCTACATATTAATAGAGGTTCAACAGTCATATTCAATTCAAAAAGTAAAAATTATCAGGTTCATCATCTGGTTGAGTTGAGTTCAAATAAAAATAACTGTAGAAGATTTTAGAACTCGATCAAACATTGGATTACGTTTGATTAAGTTGGGTTAATCGGGTTATCGGATTTTTGACCACCCCTGTTCAAAAGATCATAAACACATTATCTGCTTAAATGATGATTTAAAGTTGAATGAATATAATTTAATGTACTTATTTTAAAAGAATACTTATATCTATCAAATATTTATATAATTGTACATGTTGAGTTTCACCTCGATTTATTCTCAATATCTGTTAATATATTATGTTTAAAATCTTTTTTGAAAAGTAATCTAACGAAGTTTCATATATTTTCGTGATACAAATTCATGTAATTAACTAATTTAATTTGCATTTTGACCACAGAATTGGTATTGTTATGGGAAGGCAGTGGCGGAACAGGCTGCGTGGGACGAGGCTAAAGCGAGAGAGGTTGACTTGGTGGTGGTGAACCCCGTGTTGGTTTTGGGACCGTTGTTGCAATCCACGGTCAACGCTAGCATTATTCATATCCTAAAGTACCTTACAGGCTCAGCAAAGACCTATGCCAATTCGGTCCAAGCATACGTTCATGTTAGAGATGTGGCCCTCGCACACATTCTACTCTTCGAGACTCCCTCGGCTTCGGGTCGCTATTTATGTGCTGAGAGCGTGCTTCACCGTGGTGAAGTCGTCGAAATTCTAGCCAAGTTTTTCCCTGAATACCCAATTCCCACCAAGTAAGTCTCGTCCTCTTATATGTTTGCAATTAATCATTATATTAATTATCGTTACAATTAATATTTTGACATACATAATTCTTTTATCTTGTTAATATAAAGAATCAAATATATTTACCTCTTAATAATTTCATTAAGAGGTAGACTCTGAATGGTTGAGAGATGAATCTTGTTTGAAAAAAAAAAAAAGTTTAGGTGTTAATGGTTCTAAAACCCGTTGAATAATTTTGTATCCTGGCTTCCCTTAACCATTCAGCGCCTTAATTTCATTGTAAACAATTACAAACAATTATATTTCATTTTGCATTATATCATGAGAACATTTTAATCATTATGGTCACTTAATTATTCTACATCAAACCATTGAGCAACTGTCAAACAGTCTCTTATAAGGGAGGTTAGAAAAACCCCTCAAAAAATAAAAAATAGAAACACGCTAGTAACCATTCATCTTGACATATACATGTGCATATAAGTAATTGAAGTTGTTTCTTGATTTTTATATACGTGTGTATGTTCTACAAATATACATACTTGACAAATTGCTTATAAATTATTTGTATTGCACATGTATATACCGTCCAAATGAACTGTTATGTTCCTCAGTTTTTTTTAATTTTTACTGTTTTTCTGACCCTATATATATATTATAAAATATTGATTTACAATTATAAATTTATATTTAAAAAACATGGATGGAACAAAAGTTGGGTGAACCAAAGACGTGATTTGATTAATGAAAGCAATATTTGACCTTATCACGTATAGCAAGTCTAAAAGGATTACACCAAGATTCAAAGAAAACAAGACCAACTTTTGTTTTCAGATATATATCTATATAAATAATTTCAGATCGTGTGGCCAAGACGACTCCTCACCCACCCCACATCCCTATCAGAACTACCGTGGTCCCTCGTCGTGTACATCACTGGGCCCACGCACCAACCAACACAAGAGTCCAAAAATTACCCATCTTTTAATGGGAACTAATTTAATTATATTAAGGTTTTTTTGTTAAATGTGGCTAAATTGAAGTGAAAAAAAAGGGTGCTAATTAAAGTGGGTGATGGTAAACGAATTGCAGGTGTTCTGATGAGATAAAGCCAAGAGCAAAGCCATACAAATTCTCGAACCAAAAGCTCAAGGATTTGGGTTTGGAATTTACACCCGTGAAAGAGTGTTTATATGAAACGGTCAAGAGCTTACAAGAGAAGGGTCATCTCCCGGTGCAACCAACCGGCCACACCGATGATCACATCCGTATACAGTCTTAAACTAAACATACATATATATGGTATGTATGTTATCATGTGTTCCTAATTAATCAGTGAACCTGTCCGTGGAAAGTTGAAATCATATGATCTTTGTTGAATGAAAAGTCCTTTTCTTGTATTTTGAAGATTCAAATGGGAATCGTAAATATTTTTACAACAGGGAAACCAAATATTCATGATAAATAACCATAAATATCGTTCATTTTCATTATTCATGATACAAGAGTGAATTATGGATATGGTCTGTAACATGTTAAAATTTATGATTATGAAACAAGGATATTTTGGTCTTTTAATCCCTGAGTTAATTGGATTAAATAATTCATTTAAAGGTCCTTCGTGAGAGGGACTTTAGTCATAAGAAAATGACAACTACAAACACGAAAATTGATGCAACTTAGAATTTGATGCCTTGGGTCGTCGCCCACCCTTTGGGCCGGCCGTGACCATGGAGATCATATCCATAATTTTTCTAATTTTTAACGACGTCCCCTACTAGTCATAATTTTCAACATACCACAAGGACCAAATCCGTAATTCACTCATACACTTTTCATAATGAATGTGATATGTAGAAAAATGTTCATTTGAATATCTATCACAACATTCATGATAATTAAATTTTTTTTATTGACGGTTATATTCATCGTAAATAATACATGAAGCAATTGATTCTATCGTTTTCAAAATATTTATGGTTTTGATTTAAACCCAGCCACCGACCGTACACATCAAAGATAGATTGGGAGGGATGTCACTGTTTCACAAAACCAAAAGCAACAGGACAGACAAGATGCTGTTTGTAACTCTACTAAATAGGTATCTTTTTTTTATCACAAACTAATATGATTTCATTATTCATGTTCCTAAACCATATTAATTAGAGTCTGGGAGCATGTTAGATCAAACTCTATTAATCATATATATATATATATATATATATATATATATATTCTAAATCAGGTCTATAACTCAGTTTGCATCAGCAGTGGTCCTCTTCTGAGGAAGTTGCATGCTAACTATGTCCTCTCTTGGTTGGCCATATGCAGCGGAAGCACTCCTCTCCATCTCGCGGCATTCAGGACTCGTAAGTGCCAGAAGGTGTGATGAGTTCTTGTTTTTGCGCAACACCAGATACCCAATCCCGGTTAAATAAATCAACATACCTGAAAATCCCAACACTCCACACGCCACCTTGCTCACAACTGCTAAACGCCCATGAACGAGCACCGAGATCAGATTATCCACAAGAAAGTATATGTTTATGCCCATAATTAAGGACCCAATTATCCAAGTCATTCCTGAGATCTGCATATACATAATCACCACCTTGTAAGATTATGCAGGGAATCAAAGTGACAATCATTAATTGTAACCTCTAATTCAATTCATCTCATATAGTTTATTTCTTATAACTGGTACGTGAATTAACAATTAATATAAATAAATAACAAGGTTCTAAATGGTGTGAGGCGTGGTGTGGGGACAAGGTCAAGCCTTCAAGCCACGACAAGGTCATGCTATTTTTGAAGGCGTGATTTATGACAACAAATCTGTATATTATATACATAATTATATAGATATGCATATGCTCTCTACAATTAATCAATGAGCTAATGATATTAAACAATTTAAATTGGGTTATACTTAAAACTAAAAAGTAAGACACTAAAAAGGTAAACAAATATATCAAATTTTGCATTGCAAAAACCGTGCATTGGACCATGGCGTGCCACATCCCACAGGCTCAACATGGTGTCGGACACTAGCCTTTAGCCTTGAGCCATGGAGCACCACAAAGGCTGTCTTGGCGAGCCTTCTAGAACACAGATATATATAGAGATTGAAATTTAGAAATTACATTTTGAAGACTTCTTGTGTCACTTGAAATATACATGATAGATGTCTCCAATAGGGCATGCAATGCACAAGTGAATTTTGAGAAGCCAACTGTTTGTTGGGCACCTAATTAACCCATCACGTATTAGGCCACACCTATTTTAATTGGTTGTTTGTTTTCTTGTCTTAACGAGTCTGCTAGTCTCTAAGAGATTATTCAGTTTTTTCAACTAACAATGTGATTAGTTTTGTTGGAAATACCTTTCAAGTCCTTGCAAACCACCAACTTATTGACTCTGGTGAAATAATAATGTGTCCTAGATTCCTAGATCTACCTTTATGGATTTACATTAAATTCACGAAAAAACATGTCGATATAAATTGCAAATGAAGATGTATCCTTACAATCTTTGAGTTGGCATGTGATCCCATCTTGGTCTCACTGCTAGTGAATTTGAGAAGTGGAATGAGAGCAAATGGGAGCTCAAATGACAATATCATCTGCCACAGTAACAACACATGTCAGCAAGCATTAAAACCTTATAATGAAGAAGATAACAAGGTTTAAATACAGTTTCTAAATGAAGAGAAATTAGTGCATTTTTCTGCTCTACTACTCATGTTGATGCAGAACAGTTGGCTAGCTAGATAATTTAGCAAATCGCAATGCAAAACAGAAAACTCGAGGAGCTCGAAAAACTTTATATTTCCTGGAGGAATAAAAGAGAGACTTCTAAAAGGAGGGTAAGTTTCATTGGTATTAGGTTTGAACCACCGTACCACAAAAGATGCTGTTGGAGTTGTTCAAACAATGAATAATCACTCAGAAGAAACTTAAGAAAATATTTACGATGAAAAGGGGAGATAGAGTTCAGGGTCACTAACAGATGCTATGATAATTAACTTCCCAGCTCCAGCCGATCCACCAATGAGAGCAACAATTAGACTAGGGACTATGGCTAAGCACCGGGTTAGGAGGTTTCTAAGCCATGGCTTCATACGTAGGTCAAGAAACCCCTGCAAGGAAACATGTGCAATGATATTATGCCAAGTAGAGATAAAGATGCTCAACTTCTTTAATTATTGCACACACAAGAATACATCCCAAATATTTCTTTTACGTTGTGTTGCTTAATGACTGGAACACATCAACTAGTAGTTTCTGGTTGCAGAGGATCATGCCACCTAAATTGATATCAGAAGCAGGGTCAAGCTCCTGCTCCTCCCGATTTCTCCATTTCTACTTGTGGCTTCATGACAACGAATGCCAGAATTTTTATAGGTTGTCACATACTAAGAGTAGGAACCGAGATAGAAAGCTCCTCTAGAATTTTTCTACTTCAACTTTCATCACCAAAGAAGCTTTATGAAGACAATAAAACAATACCCTTAAATTTCTTCTTGGATTTTAGATAAAAGAATCAAATACCTGCATAACATACTGCCCAGCATATGTTCCAGTTATTGTGGAACTCTGACCTGATGCCAGCAAAGCAATTGCAAAGACCTTTGAGCTCCACTTGCCTAGAACATTCTGTGAAGATGAAAAGAAGAGGGTGCACATGATCACTGTCAAGCTCTACCATTAACAGGAAAACAGAACAAAGGAAGGGTTCACATGCATCATCATCCATTAGCACTAAATGACACTTGCCTTGAGCAAAAAGGATGCTTTATTCAAATCTAAGTCTTGACAACTCTTCTGATCATCTGGGTTCAAATTCGAAGAATTGCAGACTGACCCACTTAATGATATAACCGATATATTAATAAGGAAGGCCACTGCAAGCGCTATGCCACTTTCTATCAAGTAAAATCTGCAAGCTTCCTGTAAATATAAGTTCAATTGAAAATTCAATTCTGCTAAAATAGTTCAATTGTAAATTATTCTGCTAAATTATTCTGCCAAAGGCTCCACCGAGTACAGTAACTGGTTTTTCATTGTTTGAAAACTAACAATCATCATAACAAATTCCATGGAAGGGACAAAAGCATAAGAGCTTTTTATATTCATACCCAGAAAATTGGTGGTTGAAAAGCAACGGTTCTTATCATTTTTCATTTATTTTACTGTTTCTTTCTTCCACACAAAATCAACTGTGTCCCAGATTTCCTAGTCATCTTTCTTACAGTTTTTCATTGTTGGTGATAACAAATGCTAGACGATAGCATACAGACATGCTCGTTTATGTAAACAGGTTCACATTCAATAATTGAACAGTAAGATAGCTCCACAAGCAACCAATGTAAAATGCAGAAGAAATTCCATCAAAAGTTAAAAATGCTTCTAGAAGATAGGAAGTTACTTTGATCCCACTAACTGATCGTGGTATTTTCCTAGAAAGCACAAGAGCTGAGTGCAGGAAAAGGTTGTGCCTGCATCAATGGAGAAAATTCACAAATAAGATCCATATGGCTTGCAATAAGCAGCAACTAGAGAATAACTTACGGCATGACCATAGCACCAAGGAGTGAAATTGCAAGGCCTGTAGAACCGCTGCCCCTGAGCTGGGGGACAAACAGCCCATATAGCACTTCTGAAGCATCTGGTTTTGAAATTCCGAGCTCAACAAGAAAGCATGCAGCTATAGTGAGTACCAAGAAAGTAATCAAGAATTCAAGTTTCCTCACCTGCACAACAAGCAAAAGCATCTCATCTGATTATCATCTTGAGCAAATTAATATTATTATACCTAGAGAGTTAAAAGCAAATGGAATACCCCATATTGTTGTAGTGCTAGTAGACCCAAAGTACTAAAACCTGTGAGGAGCACACCACACCATACTGGGATATTGAAGAGCATATTCAGGGCAAATGCTGTGCCGATTACTGCACATGAAGAACAGCAGCATTAGGTCAAAATGCAAGTATAAAACTAGTATTTGTATGCTTATTCTTTTAGAGGAAGGGGGAAGTAAAAATGACAAGCATTATTCTTAATTAGGTTAATAGATCACAGATACTGAAATGGGCAATTCAGCATTCTCATATGAAGTAGCTGCATAATCCGAGCTGCTGGACTTCATATATATAGTATGATACACATCCAGAGAGCAAACCTCAAGCCCATGAATGTCATAGTTGATTGGTGTTCGCTGATCATAGATTGTAATGTGTATTCACATGTATTGAACAAATGTAAAAATATAGCATGAATGAAAATTCCTGAAAGGATACTCATAGAATAGCAATTAAATTGCAGCAGCTGTTGATTTTCTTAAACAACATAATCCATCTCTAACCTGGATACTTTGATGGTATGCAGATGTTAACGTGCTAAATAGGCAAATAAAGTTTATGGTTGAAAATAGAAAACAACTGTGAACATATAAATTAGCTCTTCAATAGCAAATCATAATTTTAGTAGAACTTAAATAAACATTTCAGCGATCTAATAATAGTGAATACACAAGAGGGGAAAAAGAAACAAAATGAAACCACATTCTAGTACCTATAAGGGTAAAAAAAACAGGCTACAATTGAAGAAATATTCAAGACGTTGTCAGTTTGATGACTCATGTCAATTAGGTCCTTTTCGGATTCTCAAGGTACATAGCGAATATGTGAAACACACAGATCTCAGATCTTTAGAGTTTCACAAGAGAAGTAGGAACACAGTAGCAGGTAAAGGATTTGAAACTTGGCATGCCTTTATTCAGTTCCATGAAGAACATGTAAGTAATAATATTCAATGCAGTGAGGATATTTAAATCTATCTGAAGCACAATAAATCACTACGTTATAAACTAAACCAAATAGTTAAAAGCAAAATTAACTCCTTTTGGAAACATTTTCTGTCATAACATGTTTGTTTCCACTGAAAGCAATATCACATGAAATCAGTTCTGAGTTACCTAAGTGATAAAACAATGGAAGTGGTCAATACCTTCAGGAATGTCACAAGCAACTATGGATATTTCAGCAAGAATCCACAAAATGATATTGGTCACCTTCTCATACTCGTTTTTGCAATGCTCAGCCAAATGCTTTCCTAGAGTATTATACAGGAAAATTCAGGCATCTGTTTGACTATATGACAGATGAAAAAGATAATAATGACAATAAAAGTAGGAGTATGCATATAATTTCAGGGTGGAAAAGATGGATGAAAATACCAGTAACAACCCCCAGGTTTGCTGCCAAGGATTGGATGACAAGTGCAGCACATGAGGCCACCAATATAATCCAAAGTAACTGCAAACAAAGAGGAATAAGCAAGAGTGTAGACACTGAACTTGATGCTAAACGATAAATAAATATGCGCGTATGGGGTTCAACCGATGATGAACAAAACCAATTAGAGTTTTCTTCCACAATAATCAGTTAGTTCTTTCTATCAACTAGGATAAGACAAGCAAAGAAAACGAATCAGCAAGTACCACCTGTATCTAGCTACCAAGCATTCTCTTTCATGAAGAAATGTAAGACCAAGGGAAAATGGAAAGTGAACATCAAAATACAGGCATATGCTGTTTTAGAAACTTAATAATGCTAAGTTACTGCTTTACTTAATTAAGGCTTCATTCAATAAAAAAATGCAACCATTTAAAGATGACTATGAAACTGAATTTTGATTGCAAATAAATCTATAAACTCCAGTAAGGAAAATATATAAGCACCTCATACTTGTACTGGGCTCCTGATTGTAAATCAGTTTCAACTGCAAGAATATGCAATCAAGGTCAGTAGTGAACTACCTAAATGATTAGTAAATCAATAACATACAAAAGAAGCATCTTACAGTTTCCAGGATCAATGTATGCAATGGAAACAAGAAACCCAGGACCCATGTACGCAAAAAGGTTTTTCCAGCTTGTCTTCTGCATACATTTACAGTGGTGCCATCAATTAGGAACCGTCAGAATTTCACTTCCACCCATAAAATTTCACTTGATAAGAAAATTTTACCAGTTCAAATTTGTAATCTAATAATTAGTTTAAGATCAACAAAAAAAAGTTCACTAGAAAGTCTCCAATAATAGTCAAGTTAAAATCACATCATATCCGGTGAAAAGCAGGAAACAGTTCTTTTTATTTGAGCTTTTTGTCAACTTCACCATTTAGAAAAATGCTTTGAGTTTTATAATTCACAGCAAGTTTACTATTCCATCACCCTACCACTAGATCAAGGACTTGCTCAAACTTTACCTATACGGCTATACTCTATCACATCAATAAATGAGATTAAGGATTTGAACCAAACACTAAGACATAATTTCACATTTGGATATGAAACATTAGCTACTGGTAAACGAAATCTCAAAATCCAAATAACTGATTTGCCATTGTGCTCGTAAACCTAAATTCGTATATACAGCAAACCATGATGTTAGAACAAAAATTCATAGAGAAGATTACGAGAATCCTAAATCCACAACAGAATCATAATAATAATCATATAGGAAATGAAAATAAAAATACTTACATCAGGAACAACAATCTGATTAGTCTCAGGACTCTCAATTAGCGGCGCATTAGTCATGAACTGCGGATGCTGAGAAAACGCGTTTGCCGCCATCTTCTCCCTGTTTTACTCTGTTCCAATTACACTGCCAATCGCAAAACTTCACAGGGCAATCATCAGACATCAAACATAAAACATGCAATGTGCCGGTAACACAATATGCACATAAATTACAAGTAGAACACGAGTTCAGATCTAAAATCAATTAATTAACCAAAAATAATCTGCAATTGCATAGATAAGAGCGCCGTAACAAGAAGTTACCAATCAAGATTTGATATGGAATGAAGGATAAGAAAAATGAAGGAATGCAGAGACAGATACGAGTGCGTAGTTCAGGCAGTATGAAACCTTATTTGCAGGTGGAAGAAGATGCGATGCGAGTGAGTAAGGGATGATGCATGTATCAACCACCGACTAAAGAAGCTTCTCACTGCTGATCTTCTTCGACGTTTTCCGACTTCAAATGACTACTTCGAGTTGCTCGTCTTTTTCTATATAGTTGTTGCACAGAGCATCTAGCTTCTTTCTTAACAATTAAATTACCAAAAAAAGCATTCAAACAAATTTTAAATGTTACAATAATATTGATTAAAATGGTAATTTCTATTACATAATAAACTTTATATAAAATGGTAATTTATCTATACTATATTATAAAGTATTTGACAAAAAAATTTAAAAATCATTTTTCATGCATGTACTATTGTTTATTGATGTATATTACTTAAAAGTCAAGATTATAATTAAATTGTGCTTAAGTATAACTTATTAAAGCTTCATGTTTGAATTTGTGCAAATAAATATAATAATATACAAGATAAACATCTCATTTTAATATATAAAATCTAAAATATAATTAGGATAATCGTTGTGTTTTAACAGAATAATTAATTATTATTTTTATAAAAAATTATATTGTTAGACATAAATTAAATTACTTCGTTACTAAAACTAAATTAAATTATAATAAAAATTTTGAATTAAAGAAATTAAATAAAAAAAAACAAGAATTTTTTAATAGTTAATTTGGTATTAGTATCAATGTATCAACATAAAATATAATAAAATGAAACATTAAAATCGAGATGTGTTTTAATTCATTACATGAATATCTTTATAGTATAAAATAATAAGTTCCAATAAGTGTTATATAGAATGGTAATTTATAATAAAGTTTTTGTAAAGTGATATTTAGAAGAAAAAAGAAAAAAAAACCGGTAATTTTCCATAAACTTTTTGGAAAATATTCATTTTTAACAACTAATAATAAAAGATTCTTGACAAAATTCATTTATAAATAACTGAAAAGGTACTTACACAATATAGTGAAATATATCTTGATTTTAATGTTTTTTTATCTCTATCAATATAATATGGTTTTATGTGGTTTTGAGAAAACGATAATATTTTTATTTTTTATATAAAATATAAATGTGATGATGTCATAGATATTTGAAATATATATATATATATATATATATATATATATATATAT